TTCTCCGACAGGATCGACAGGTGCAACACTTTTTACTTCCTTCTTAAAACTTGTTGCTGCTGTCGTCCTTTTGTTATTTTCCTTCTTTATGTAACGAACTGAAGATTCATTTATTCCGTAACGGAGCCCAACAGCGCAGAGTCCTGCACAGGTCCATTTATGGAGACCCCCAGTACAGGACCGCCCTGCGCAGTACAGGACCGCACCTGCGCAGTACAGGACCGCCCCTGCCCGTTAATTACCCACCCGTGTGTAATTACTACCCGCCTGTAATACACAATACGCGTTCATACGCTGTTAAAAAAAAAAAAAAAAAAAAAAAAAAAGTGCTTCTCAGAGCAAAACAACATAAAAACAACATAAAGAAGAACAGAGGACAGTCGACTAAAAGCCTGTCTAAACAACAGTGTCTTGAGCTGCTTTTTAAAGCAGTCGATAGAGTCGGCCTCACGTAGGACCAGGGGCCAGGTTCCATCATTTGGGAGCCACAGCCTGAAAGCAAACGTCACCCTGAGTTTTAAATCGGGTTTTTGGGATCATCAAGAGACCCTGACCTGAGGACCGGAGGTTGCGGCCTGAGTTGTAGGGGGCAGTAAGTCACTGATGTACTGGGGCCTGTCCATTTAAAGCTCCACAAGTTAAAACCAAAATATTAAAATCAACACGGAACTTAACTGGAAGCCAGTGCAGTGAAGAAAAAACTGGTGTAATGTGAGTTCGCCTGTTTGCTATTGTTAAAAACCTCGCAGCCGCATTCTGTACAAGTTGCAGCCGCTTAAATGTAGAAGCATTAAAACAAGTAAAAAGAGATTCTTAATCGACAAACCAAATGTAGGTCGCTGTGCGTAGCGGCTTTTCCACTGAGTCATGTCCTTTAGTCCGACAGAAGCTGAACCACGTCAACGACACAAGAGCTGTTTATTTCTTCGCTTAGTTTATGCAAATGAGTCATGCAGTTTTAAGTTTTGTTTTGTAAATCTGCATTAAACTCATTCTAATGTCAAACAGCTGATGTGGCTCTAGAACGATTATGTTTATATGTCGTAAAGTTGAATTAACTTTTGCAGATTAGAAGATAGTAATGATGATCATTTTAATATAAAAACGTTAATGATTAAAGGTTGTATGGAGGATTTTTTTTTGTTTCAAAGTGTCAGTGAAAGATTAAAATACCATTACAGAGACGCAGCAGCTTTGTAATTATGATGACCAAAAAAAAAAATGACAAAAATCTATCAACTGTGGACGTGTTGAGGCCAGATAAACATCAGCCAATAGAAAACGAGGCTCCCTCATTTTCTATTGGCTGTTAGGTTGTCAATCAAACTCCCTAGTATAAACTGACTCGTCGGAGCGCAGGGATTACGTGGTTTACGCAGCGGTTCTTAGAGGCTTTTTCGAACTGTCGCTTCCTCGCATTTCGCACAAAGTTTGTCGCGACGGCGGACGAGAATCCACGACCGGTTCGCCGCAAAAGAAAGTCGGTTTTTGAGGTCGATGAAAGAAGAAGAGAAGAGGAAAAGGAGCAAAGCCAAACTGAGGTGATTCTTGGAGATCTCGTCCAGCGATGGCGCGACCGAAGCAGACGAAGGGTCTAAAAACTGACGCGTCGGTCGCTGAATTACTTCTAGACAGGAAACTTCAACAGTAATTCTGAACGCGCACAAGGACTGTCGCTGTATTTCTCTTCCCTTAAAAAAATCCTCTATACAACCTTTAGTTTGATGTTCACTTTTTCGAGGAATCCTTCCCAGTGTGCATGACCGGAAGCCCGAAATTCATGATGCCTGTATTGCTACGGAGCCTAAAAATGACACTGTACATTCTACAAACATTGTGAAATAAATGGTCCTAGTTTTTGTGTTTGGACTAAACATGATTCATTCTGTATTCACTTCATAAAAATTAAATATAACACACACACACTTTACCGTTGTTGAATTGTTCCCCAGTGGCACCGCTGCCGTGTTTCTCTGTCACAAGTGTTAACCACCTCTCCTCACAAACAGGAAACGAGCCTCTGATTTTAGTTTCTGTTGCCAAAGCTTCAGTGGAACGACTCGTCTTCACTCGTGGTCTGAGAAACGTCCTGCCTCACACACGGCGGCAGGTCTCCACTTATAAACCGCTTTTTACAGATTCGCAAGAGCCACGTTTCAAATTTATGTTCTGAAAATGTGGTTTTTGTCTCAAATAGAAACTACTAAATCGAGAAAAGCGTTGGTTAAAAGTGTGTACGTGCCGTTTGTCACCAAATCTCCACACAATCCTGCTGCACGTTGCATCATTTCAACCGTCATGTTCTTATAAAACTCTGAATTTAGTTGGAATTTCCTACATTACGCAAAACTGACTCTTGTGTGAGCGAAAAGAACAAAATCATCACCAAATGATGCTCAATAACTCACCACTTGAACATCTTTAAAAACCACTACAGACCGTCATTTAAACTGGAAATCACACGTTGAATAAAATTAGAAATAAATGATCCAAACGTAATTGCAATTATATTATTTATAAACCTCCAAACTCCAAAATTTTACGATTTAGGTTATGTTTAAACTGAAATGAATCACCATATCGGAAACAATCTGCATCGTTTCTGTGTCCACAAGTCTCCTCTATCCTCACAGCTTTGAGCACATTTGTTTACGTTTTACAGAAATTAAACTTAAAACCACATGACTCATTTGCATAAACTAAGTCTACGTTCACACTGCAGCCTGAAGTGACCCATGTTATTAGGTTCTTTTTTTCAGACCCAGAGTGTTATTTCATCCCTGACAGTTTGTTCTGTTCACTAGCGTCTTCCTCAGAGTCACGTGATGTTTCCTTCTCAGGTTTTGCGTTCTGTTGCTATGTTCCTTTTTCCGTTTTATTGCAGGATTCTATATTCTCCAAACAAATATTATTCCTGCAATAAAACAAACATCGGGGAAACGGGGAGGGCGTTCAGTCCACGAAAAAAGGAACATAGAACAGAACGCGAGAAGGAAACAGCGAAGGCGAAACACGAGCAACAAAACACAAAGCAGAACAGGAACAACTCAAATCGGCCGTTTCTGACCAGTGTAAAAGAGAGAAACCACGTTATGGACGGGGACGGAGCAAACATCACTGGGACAGAGGAAAACAAACATCGCCGCTGGATTAAAGAAGCAATCGAAATACAGAAACGTGCCCACAGGACTGTAAACCGGGACGAGGGGCTTTTTTACTCTCACACACCTGGGATACTGTCCTGAGGAAGTGGGACTGCAGGTGGCGCTGTCGTCCTGCCTCCACCGGTAGGAAGACGGCGCCAAAACCTGTTTAAATCAGCTGACCAGACGCGTCACAGAAACATCACGTGACTCTGAGGAAGACGCTAGTGAACAGAACCAAACTGTCAGGGATGAAATAACACTCTGGGTCTGAAAAAAGAACCTAATAACATTGAATATCGGAAGACCAAATGAATCTCATTGGACTATTACGCTGAAGTGACCCAAATCTGATTTTTTGACAGTCTGGACGACACAGATCAGATTTTTTCAAACGTGACCCAGGACACTTGGACATGTGCTCCTGAAACCGACACATTTCTGATCTTTGGACATGTGACTTCAGTGTGGACGGTCAGGTCACATTCATCCCACCTACACGTCATCAACAAGACACAAACGTACACAAACGTTCCTCTCGTCGTACGAAACTTGAAAATCGCTCTCCCACCGCCCTCGGCTCCGTCTCCACATCCACACGTGTAAGTTAAACAAACAAAAAAAAAGAAGCCATGTCCACTTAAAGACACACTACGGAACATTTCAGGCAAAGCAAACGAGCCACAGACAAACAGGTGCAGATAAAACGAGAAAAAATTAAACTCATTATAACGCCGTACAATATGTCAAACTTGGACTGCTCCACCTTGTGATGTCACGCGGTGATACAGGAAGTGCTCCAGTGTGTTTTTAAACTCCAAACACCTTCACTAGAATCATCTGGACGACAGAGACGAAGATCATTTTCTCACTTTGAATGATTTAAATTTGAAAAAACATGTTTGACTTTTTTACATTTTGAGTTTTTTTTTAAGTTTTGTGTTTGAAAACTTTTAAAAAATATAAATTCTGTAAAATTTTCAGCACACACACAGTATTTTACTTTTCAGTTTTCGAGACGTTGACTTGAAAACTGTATCACTTCATCATGACATCACGAGGTGGAACAGAGCGTCTCCAGCTTTAGACAGATGAATAATACAGGGGTAAAAAAAGGGGAAAAAAATCCTTCCATTTTTCATTGCTCATTTTGCTTATTTTGATACGATCATAAACGATAAATGACGAGTTTGTACGAGCAAAACACAGCACAATACAAGAAAAAAAGAAAGAAATGGGGTTAAAATTATATTTAGTCTGTATTTTTCTATAATGTAGAATATTTCTAAAGTTTCGTCATCAATGTACAGAAGCAACAACAGAATTTTTGAATTTTTGACTCCGAAATGTTCTTTTGTGTTGTTTAATGTGTGTGTGTGGTGATTGTTTCTGGTTTTGGCCCAAACTCGAAATAAAAACGAATCAAATCAAATGAAGAAATGTTCAGTTAATTATTTTCGTGATATGTGAAAGGAGCAGGTTTATATTTTTATCTTCTTCCTGTTCCTTTTGTTCGTGCAGCAAAAACGAGACAAATAAAGATCGGATCATGTTCAGTGTTTGTGTGAAATGTCACGTTTGTTCGTTGTTTTTTTTCTTTAAGTTGGTGTAAACAGAACAACAGCAAGAGCAACAAATACACAAATAAAAACTGAAATGTGTGTAAATGTTCAACATGTGTAAAATTTGTGTCGTTTTTGTAGTAAATGTTGGTTTTAGGTGTAAATCGATCAGATTTGTCCCTCAGATTTGTTCTTCAGGTTTGTTCGTTTGCTCCAGAAGCAGAAACAGAAACATTTGTTGTTGAGCCTCGTGTTTCTGTTTCGTGTTTCGTGTTTCGTGTTTTTCTTTTCTCACCTTTTCCTCCGTGGGTCCTGAAGTTGCGCGTGGCTCCGCTCAACCTTCCGCCGAAACGCGCATTCTACTCTCCGCGAACACGACGGCGACAGAAGCGGCGGCAGCGGCGGCGCGCGCTCCACAGGTCCGGGCTCCGGCTCTTCTTCGGCGTCACACGCGGGGGAAACGTGCGCGCGTGCGGGGCATTCTCCGGTGCGTCCGCGTGTGTCACACACCGGCCCCGCGCTCCGCCTCCGCGCGCAGCCTTTGTGTTTTCAGCGCGAGGACCGAGACACGACGCGGAGGGACGCGGCGAGAAGCGGCGTGAAGCGGCGTGACGAGCGCGGAGGAAAAACGGCGGCGGCGGCGGCGTGACGAGTCCGTGCGCCTCGCGCTCCCGCACCGATCTGAACCGAGAACGACGGAGCACGTAAAGACGCACAGACACGCACGGAGACGCACAGACACGTGCACACGCAACTGAGACGCACGCGCTCCCGGACTGACAGAGAGAGAGAGCGAGAGAGAGAGAGAGAGAGAGAGAGAGAGAGAGAGAGAGAGAGAGAAAATACAGAGGAGGGAGGGAGGTGGAAGAGCGAGAGAGAGGAGACAGGAGAGAGAGACGGAGGGATGGGAGAGAGAGAGAAAGAGGAGAAGATGAGGAAGAGAGAGAGAATGCAGGAGAGAGAGAGAGTGAGTGAGTGAGTGAGTGGCAGAGAGTGAGAGAGAGGAAAGGAGGGGGGAGAGAGAGGATGAGAGGGCAGAGGTTTACAGGAGAGAGAGAGGAGGGGAGGGGGGGGTGAACAATAGAGAGAGGGGGGGTGAGAGAGAGAAAGTGAAGAGGAGGAGGAGAAGACAGGAAGAGGAAGAGAGGGAAAGGAAAGGGACTTTACAGAAGAGAGAGAGAGGAGGGGCTGTACAAAAGAGAGGGAGGGGGGAAAGAGAGGAAGAGGAAGAGAGGAGGGCATTGCAAGAGAGAGGGAAGGAGGTGACAGGGAGAGAGAGAGGAAGGAAAGGAGAAGAGAAGGGAGAGAGAGAGGAAGAGAGAGAAAAGAAGGAGGGGGTAAGAAAGAGAGAGAGAGAAAGGAGGATGGGGAAGAAGGAAAGATAGAGAGGGAGGAAGAGGGAGAAAGGAAAAAGGGGGGCGGGAGAGAGATTAAGTGATAGAGAGAAAGAAAAGAAAGGAGGGGAAGGAGAAGGGGGGAGGAGAAAACCAGATGGAAGAGGGAGAGAGAGAGAGGGTGGGAGGGAGAGTGAGAAGGGAGGGGAGGAGAGAGAGAGGATGGGGGAAAGAAGGAGAGAGAAAAAGGAAAGGAAAAAGGGGGATGCGAGAGAGAGGAAGTGGTAGAGAGAGAGAGGAGGGAAAGGAGGAGAAAGAGAGAGAGGAACGAGGGGAAGAGAGAGAGAGAGAGAGAGGAGAGAGAGGAAGGAGGGGAGAAAAAAGAGAGAGGGGGGAGGGAAAGAGGTAGGAGAGGGGAAGAGAGAGAAGGAGAGAGAGGGATGGCGGGAAGAGAGAGAGAGAGAAAGGAGGGAGGGAGAGAGCGAGAGAGAGAGAAAGGAAAAAATGGAGAGAGGAGGGAGGGGAGAAGAAAGAGAGAGAGGGAAGAGGTAGGAGAGGGGAAGAGAGAGAGAGGAAGTGGGAAGAGAGGGGGAGGAAGAAGGAGAGGGACAGAGAGAGAGGAGGAGAAAGGAAAGGAAAAAAGGGGGATGCGAGAGAGAGGAAGTGGCAGAGAGAGAGGAGGGAAAGGAGGAGAAAGAGAGAGAGAGGACTGAGGGGAAGAGAGAGAGAGAGAGAGGAATGAGGGGAAGAGAGAGAGAGGAAGGGAGAAGAAAGAGAGAGGAAAGAGGGGGAAGAGGAAAAGAGGTAGGAGAGGGGAAGAGAGAGAAGGAGAGAGAGGGATGAGGGGAAGAGAGAGAGAGAGGAAGGAGAGGGGAAAAAGGGAAAGAAAGGAACAAGGATAGAAAGAGAGAGGAATGAGGGGAGGAGAAAGAGGGAGAGAGGAATGAGGGGAAGAGAGAGAGAGAGAGGAAGGAGAGGGGAAAAAGGGAAAGAGAGGAACGAGGGAAGAAAGAGAGAGGAAAGAGAGAGGGAAAGCGGTAGGAGAGGGGAAGAGAGAGAGAAGGAGAGAGAGAGGAATGTCGGGAAGAGAGAGAGAAAGGAAAGGAAAAAAGGGAAGAGAGAGAGAGGAAGTGATAGAGAGAGAGAGGAGGAAAGGAGGAGAAAGAGAGAGAGGAGAGAGAAAAAGGAGAAGAGAGAGAGAAATGAACGAGGGGAAGAAAGAGAGAGAGAGAG